TTGAACATGTTCCCTGAAACCAATGAAATTATATTTACAATTATTTACATATATTTAATTACCAGTTAAACAATTGAGGTCTCAAACATTTTCCCTTAAACCAATGAAATTTGAGCAATTGCAAATGCAACAAATTAGAATTGCGCGAGAAGGGTCTAATGGGGATTCTGGTAAAATTTCATCAATTTCATATGGGAACCCCACACGCAACCGGATGACATGATATTTTTGGAAAGTAATCAGTTGTCAATAGGATGAACTATCACGAACCACAAGGCTGAGAATTGGGTGACAATTTAGGGATGACTGGCCCAACTCCTTTGGAGCCTTTGAATTTAAAAATCTTGTCTAAAAACTAATGTCGACGCTTCAATTTTGTTTAATTACTGGATGTCCAATTTTGGAATCCCCGTGATGGTGGTGATTTCAATTTTTCTGATATGACTGACCACGATTTCAGGGAACACTGATCTCTGGTGCAAGGTGTTGACACTACGGACCCCCATCCGGTTGACGAAGCCGTTCCAATACCCATGGTAAATTTCGCCAACAATGGTTTGACTTAAATGGTTCAGAAATGTGTTTAGCAAAATTTACGAAGACCCTTTCAGCATCCATGGCATCCATGGTAGACGAGGCGAATTCCCCAACAGGGATCATGAAGAAAATGACATCCTGATCACAGCATGCCACTTAGATGCACGACACTTTGGGCAATCGATTCCCTTTTTGAAAAATGTACCATTCATTATGTTGTTGTTGTTGTAGTTGTAGTTGTTGTTGTAGTTGTAGTTGTAGTAGTTGTAGTTGTAGTTGTAGTTGTAGTAGTTGTAGTTGTAGTTGTAGTTGTAGTTGTTGTTGTTGTTGTTGATGTTTTCTTTTAATAGTTTATAGATATCAACATTAATGATTTCATTAATGTCCCATATGCAATATCTATAATCTTGACATATCTTATAGCTTATTCATACCCATAGGATCCATGTATGCTATGTATGGTAACATTTACCATCAATATACCCCAAATGTTAGCATATATACCATACATGGATCCTATGGGATATAGATTCAGATATCAGATATGTCAACCTGGCGCCACAAACTACGCTCCGCAAACCGCCCAGCCGAAAAAACCACCAGGTCAAGGTCCCTTCTGAGTTCACCCACTACCAGTTGCCCCAGCTACCCTGCGACTCGCAGCTAACCCCATTTTTTTTGGAAACAAAAGGCCGTGAAAATCAGGAAAACAACATGTAGAATTCATGGCAATTTAAATCATGAATTACCTTGAATTACTACGTTTAGGTAAGCTAAACAACCTTCGAATTATTTCAGTCATGAAAAACATTTGTTTATGAAGTTATGGCCATGAAACAAATGAAACTCAGTTTGTGTTTATATCATTTCTGGCCATTCAAAAACTTGGGAAAACATAGTTCATAGAATTGATGCTCGTTGAAGTCGTGAAAGAATGGCCTGGAAAATATTATGCGCAACCTCAATAAATTGACTGTATGGAATCCAGAGAATCTATGGATAGCCTATAATAACAAAACCTGATAAAACCTTGTTTTCTACATCACTGGATTGTACTGGATTTTGAGGTACCCCACCCTTCTTTTTTTTACAGCATCACAGAACAGGTTTTTGCAAATGGGTGATGCTAAGGTTCATGGCCCAAAACAGGTGACATCTTACAAGGAAACAGGGAAGGGGGTGGAGCCGCTGAAGCCCACAATAGATGGTGATGTATCACCCCAAGAATCGGTGACTGAAAATAACTAGGATCACCTAAATCCAGTGGGAAGTACATCCAAGACCATCCAAGTAACTTGACATGAGGGCGCAGAGCATGCGATGAAACTAAACATTGTGGGTACGTAAAAACGTCAGCAATGATAGCAGGTTTGCAGCTTGTAAAATGGTCAATCCGCCATTTTTCGGATGGTCCAAGTCTTGTCATCTCCATCATATTTTCAAATATTTTTATCCTCATGCTACTCCCAAGATCTTCGCCAATCTTGAGTTTAACATCAACAACAACACCAGGATGCAGCCGAAAAAAAACGACGGTTGTTTGAGATTTTTGGAACCCAGATATTGGCCATTGGGGATCATTGGGGATCATGATCCCAAATATGGGTGATATCTTCGAATATCTTCGAACAAATGAACCCACCGAAGAATTTTGGACTTCGGCTTGTGTTTTTGACCTCTGCTTTGCCAAAACGAATTTCACCTCATATATTCTTGCAAACAATGGGCTGGCTGAAAAAAACAACAACCAGATCCCCCAGAAAATGGAAGAATTCCTCTCCAATATTTTGATGATCTCGAGTTCTATGTTTTTTGTTCAGCCCCCATCGATTGGGGCCTATTTTGGTGGGTCTGGGACCAGGACGCAACCCTTGCAACTTCCATCATTTTTCGAGTCCCCACTTCCGAATAGATTACGAACAAAAAATGGGGGACTTCCCTACCATGGCTGTTCAAAACCATGTAGTCAAACATCATCAAACGCAACTTGCAAATTGTGATGATCCGAAAGATGATCCTCCGAGCCGACTTCTTACCTTGCAAGCCGTGTTTTCCCCCAAATGGGTGTATCTGAAAATGGGTTACACCTCCCCATTTGTGATATGTATATGTATATATATATATATATGATATGTACATTCTATACCAATTTGAAGTGGGAAAATGCACTCAACAAAAAAAAACGGAAAAACTGTCGGCGATGGGTTTTTCCCGTAAATTCCGGTAAACGGTTTCCCCCGCATTTTTTTCCCAGGTGCCCAACTGACACCAAATCCCAGGGGCTTGCTGTTTTTCTTCTTCATGGGAAGTTCCTCCTTCTCCTTGTCCTTCTCCTTTTGCTCACTCACTGGCCTCACTAACTTGGACAGGACTGGATTACGTGTTTGGACGTGTTTAGACGTGTTTAGATCAGATTCGATCACATCGATAAGTAAACATGTTCGATACAGTAGAAAAAATGGATTAGAATAATAGATTTGAAAGATTCGATAGGCTATGGAATTTGTAAGAATTTGTAATTTTGAGACCTGTTGATGGAGATGGAATGGACGGATGGGCGAATCCATCGATGCATGGCATGGACAAAAAAATGGATGCACCTAATTACTCCTAGATGCACGTAGAACCGTACACATGTGATGGTTATGTCAAAGCAAAAACCGATGAACACGGTACATCTGTGAAATATTGTGAAGTCCCCTTTTGTTATGGCGATATGTTCATCGTACTATTGAATTTCCGTCTCGTTATGGCGAAACCACCGCGGTGTCTGAGGGACCCAACCAATAGGCTAAGATTTCAAGGAGGGTCAAACGCTTGCCCTCCTTCTCAGGCCTTGGGAAAACGTTGCTGATTCGCCATCTTCGAGGGCCCAGTTTTCATAAAAACACAGGCGTTTGACTTCTGGTTTCGTGAAAATGATGATATAAACGCTATGAGTCCATCTTATGAGTTGTCAATGATTTCTTTTGGGTTCCAAATTTTCAGAGAACCTCAGTTTCATTTGGTTAAAAGAAAATGCGCAACCATGGCCGAAGTCATAAGTTTGTAGAGGTCTGTGTCAAAAAATGGTTTAAAAACTACGTAGAGTAGTATTGATTCTAAACATATTTTTAACCAAGATAATCTTGCAAACTTAATGAGCAGCGTCCACGCGTAATGAAAAGTTTCTGCCGAAACACGGCTTTTGTTTTGGCTGGCATGTCACACAACTCCTTCTAACCACATGAAGTCATGAAGGGAGGTTGTGGACATTTTTGGACTCTGCTCAATGATTGCTCAAATTCTCACCTGCTAAGATATACGCCCGTGACAGCTACTAAGGAAACGAAAAATGGAAGTGGGCACTCGGCCCAGCAAAAGCGCTCTGTATAACTTTTTTGCCTCGAGCACTTGATCCCAAAGGGGCTAGGGCATGTAGCTCAAGTTATGTAACTGTACATCAACGCACAGGCTGGGTTTGACCAGCCTTCCTTCAGTCTGACTTGACCCACTGTCTGTGCTCACTTCTGTCTGTGAGCTCCTTTCTCTCTTTGTAACTCTCTTGGCCGTGATGGCATGGTATGCTCGTTGCATCAAGTTGATGATGCCACACAGCGCCATCACGTGCACAAAGAGGAAGTACCAACAAAATCGTGTTCTGTCTTCCTCATTGGGTGTTTGTGCCTTTGTCAAGCACACCTGACATAGCAGACGTGCCACTATTACGCCCCTTCGGGTTAGCGGCATGATCTGCAGTGGTTCTCCAATCCTCATTCCAGTCAAGGACTTATTCGTGCCCAGGTCTGACCACTTGGTCGCTGCGGGTTCTTTCTCCACTCGTGGGCGATTGGACTTCACCATATCTTGGGGCCATAGGTCTTGTATATCCAGATGCTTGAGTGATCTGCTTGCTATGCCACGCACTGCTGTGGAGCCGGTTAGAACGCCAACTGTGTTCCTTTGAATCCAATGGATTTGTTGTGACATCAACCCTGCAGCTCCTCCACGACACAGCGTAGTACTCGGCTTCGCCATGAGAGAGCCACAGCGCTCTGTCGAGCGCATGAGCTCTCCAACAGGTGTTCTCCGTAGCGGTAGCGCTCAGCTGGAGCGCTCATTGATTGTCGGGTTAAACGATCTCCCAGTCACTGTCACCGTATACTGACAGCTCTGTCGGCTGCTCCTGCAAAACGAACTTCCAAACTTCAGTTGGGTACTTTGACAGATACCTGACCGGCCTTTTCAATCGAATCTGATGGAATCTTGTTGGGTTGGACATTCCCGCGCTGATTTCTGACATGGCATAGTGGATAGACGGCGATCTAAACTGAGATAGAGAGCCGTTCCTGCTATAGGCTGCTAAACTCTTTCGCCTTTAACTCTGCGGTGAGCGGATCATCCGCATGCTTGTCTCCCTTTCCACAGTTTTTGGCACTTGGTGTGTCTACACCCTTGCAGCCTTCAGCTTCATTGCTTCTATAAAGTTCTTGGCATATTTGGGATCTGCCTCATGTGTACCCTGCATCATGTCCATCACACCACTTGATGATGCGATGGAGGTGTTCACCGCAGCCAGTTTCTCCTCCGTCTTCCAGCGGCCCAATCTTCGGCAGTACTTTTGTGTCAAAATTCTCCACCAGACTCTACCATCAGCGCATCGGGTCTTGCCAAGTCACTGGCCCTCGCTTCCACAAGGAAGTCGTCACCATGGCATCATGCCACTCTGGCTGGTAGAATAGCCCGCAGGCATTCTTCACAGCTAGGAAGCCTTCTTTGGTGGCCACGGCAGACTCAACGCGTTGAGACCACTGTCTTGATGCTTCCCTTGTGCCATTCATTGCCTTGAGCTATTGCCACACATGCTCGCTGTCATATAGGTCGGCTCGAGGGATGACAGCCTATGCCGTCAATGCTTTTCGCGTGAAAGAATGCAACCAATATGTCGTATCTGGCTAAAAGCTTTCGAGTACGTTGTTTCAGGCGCGTAGTTGCAGCTGCGGAAAAAACCGTCCGATGACACTTTAACGGCGTTGTCCCCCTGTAGACATCATCTCCTTGATATGTTTCCTGTGCCACTCATCTGCTTCTCACACCCTTTGGGTCATTGGGAAGATGTTTCCATCCATCAGCCCACCGAGAGTTGACGATCTTCAAGCCCAGCCCACGTGCCTTCTGCCACGTGATGTCAACCTTCACATTGTGCTCCGTCATCTTGTCCAGCTCGCGTCCGCGACCAGCTTGGACCTTTTCTGGCGGTAGCTCTTCGCCTGTTCGCTCATCATAGGCTGGCATCTCATCCTGCTTGGAAAATGTTTCTGCTAAGGTTTCGCCGGCCACCCGGCATGTCGCACGGCCCACGCGTATTGAAGACTGCTCACTCATCCTGAACTCAAGATATCGCATTTCCATGGCATTTTACGATTGTTTTGACTTGCCTGGACTGGACACTTCCAAAATGGCTCGTTCAGCTGCACCATTGGACTGGCGGGGCTCCCTGGGTGCTGTTTGAATCTGGGCTTCTTTACTCCACCGTTCAGCAACGGCTTCAGCCAGCGCCTAGATGGATGGCTCAGCGTCGGTTTGCAAAACTACGTTTTGTCGCCCGCAAAACAAAACGAAAAATTCAACGACATTGTGAATAGCATGCTCATTCACTCCCTTGGCCACCACTGTTGAAAAGGTAGCGCCTGTGCGCTCATCAACAATGACCATGAACTGGCATGACTCCTTCCCCCTTTGTTTCTGGGTCTTCTGAAGCTTCAGTTCAACCACTGTCAGATCCTCTTGAGCCTTTGATTTGTCTAAAACCCGACCAAGAAACAAGTAGTCGATAGCTACCCTGGGGACTTCCACTTCACTACCCGGTTTCTGTTTGTAATGGGGGTCGTCCCTTAATTTACCTGCAACGCAATGCTCACACCAGCTTCTGGAGGGCAAATGAGTGAGCACGTGTCTGCCAAATTCCCCACGGCTGACCGTATCTGGGATCTTCTTTGCCCTTGTTGGTCTGGGCTCTTCAAGTCTTCTGAAGGGTGTTCAGCAGGCAACTTGGGGGGTTCTGGGCTACTGCTGAAGAAGCATGCGCAACGTTCTCAGCATGACCCTCGATCCACAAACCCATCACTACCATCCTCGCCTTCAAATGCTGAAGCTGGAACTGCATTTCTGGCAGGCCTGATGGCGGCAACTGGCTGAGCGGTGCTGCCCGCTAGCCCCGCGGAGCGACCCGCTGGATGAGTTGCTTCAACAGACAACCAGTAAACCCCTCGCTTCTTGATCAAGTTTTTTGCTGTTTCAACCAAGGCTTTCTTGATTTTGTCTGCATTCCTTCCCAAAATCATGCACTGCTGTTCGGGGCCTACCACTATCCATGTCCCCTTTTCTGCAGCCTTCCCTGAGAACTGAAAAGTTGACTTTGTCAGACTCTGCATAGTCGATGGAGAATTTCCCTGAACCAATTTAAATAACGCTACGTTTCTTTCTGCCAGTAGCCAAAGGTTGACCTGTGACTGTTACCATACCAGTATCTGGGGTTGGGTCGATCTCGGCAGCTTGTTTGTCAAACCCTTTGGAAACCAAATGACTACCAGCCCCGGTGTCCACCAAAATCTCCATCCCAGCTGACACCATTCCGGATATGAGGTCCGGACTTGCTCCGGTTCCTCGTCAGGGCTTGGCGCACCGGCATGAAAGCGGTTCTTCCCGCTCCCCTTGGAACTTTTGGAACCCTTCTCATCTGCTATGCGTTTTCTGCAATCAGCCTTGATATGCAAATTTTAAGGCAATATCTACATTCTTTGTCCTTGTGGGGGTTAGTGGAACCCAAACTTTGCTTCCCCTTGCCATCATTTGAGTTACCACCCTTGGCATTCTTCCCCAAGTCTTTGCCACGCTTGCCACTTGCTGGTTTACCACCTTTGGAACCTTTCCCCTTCCACAGGCACTGGCATTTGACTCAGGACTCGATTGGTTCTAGCCATTTCCAACAGCTCAGTTCGCATAGCTGAATAGGTGGTCAAACGGTAGCTGTTACGTATGATGTGGTTACGAACTTCAGTGTTTTGAACCCCATTTAGGATGATACCGGCCAAGATCTGATCATCAATGGTTTTCCCAAGCTCTTGTTCATATCTACGTATGTTCTTTTCAAATCTCTCTAATTCAGGTTCCAAGTCTGACCCTGAGAACTTTGTATTCAAAACGAAACTTAAAAAGACCCGACAAACCTGCTAGCTATACGCGGATGATACAGCCCCTCTAAACAATGCAGGCTTTCGGCCCGCTCACCAGGCCCGGCATTTTGCACCACGTCTAGGGGTCGGCCATGCAGGAGCATGACCAGCACAAAGTAAAGTTGGCAGCTTAGTGCCTTCTCTATTTCTCCCAGCAATCTGTTTGGCAGTGGGACCTTTTATCCAAGCTTTTAGAATAAAGCTCCAATCTGAGTACATATACGCATCTCCTTTAAAGATGTCGGGTTTGCCCAAAGCCCTTGTCTCGATGATTGGGGTGCTTGCACTTGATGAAGCAAGGGCGTTTGCTTCTAAGGTCTGTCCCAAAATCTATGCGGTAGGGACCATAACAGAAAGATCGGATACCGGATACCTGTGAAACTCTTCTCTGATTTGCCATCTCATCCAGGCGTCTTTGTTGTTCTGTCACCTGGGTTGTCAAAGTCTTGATAGCACTACTCACTAGTTAGTTGCCTCCTGCAGCGACTAACTCAGATCCAGTTGCTGTGGCTCCTCCGGATTTAGTGGAGCTGGGACCCTCTGCATGGGCCATCCCAGTCAGGTTCACTTCCTGGATCTACTTCATTCTTCTTTCCCTGGAACTCAGCCTTCTGTGATTCGATCTTTGGAAACGGTCGCGTCTCCTTCTTAGTCTTGATGACGTGATACCTTGTGATGAAGGCTGTTGGGACCACTCTCTGTTGGAGCCTCCTTCGTGCAAACTCTGCTGCGGGAGGATGATTCTGTTGTGTCCTCTCGTCTGCACTAGTCGGCATACTCTCTACGGAGTTCTTCTCCCATGGATCCTCGGGGGCGTCAGCCGTCTAATGTCACGGGTGATTTCGATCCTCTTGCGGACTTTCTGTTGGACCTTTCTTCGCTTGTTCTATAGCCCTTTTTCCTCTTGCGTATCTGTCTGTCACCTCCTTCTGCTTGTCCTGGGTCTTGCGGCTGACGGACTGGTGCTTCTTAGTTTCTGGTGCTTTTCTGGCCACAGATCTCAGCCTGATTGCACTGGAGCCACCACTGGCCGTATCTCCAATTGAACTGCGCCGGCCCAGCAGTTCGGGAAACCTTTCTTATGCCCTTTGTTCCGCTTCCTGGCGCTTGCAGATCCCTCTCTCGATCCTTTCTAGCTGCTTAGCAGCACTACACTTCCCGCGCTTGTTCGGCTTACCCTCGTTCTTGGGCGTCTTGGTGGTGTGGTTCAACCCGCAGCCACCTGGTGGTGTGGTGCTACCCACAACCACCGGCTGATGCGGTGCTACCCTACCATGCAAAAGCGCTCTAACTCGTTTTGCCCCGAGCACTTGATCCCTAAGGGGCTACGTCATGCAGATCAAGTTCATGTTCCTGAACATCGTGTCATGCATGGGGTCATGTATAGGCTGTTACACCTAACAAACATGAATCCTTTTTCTAGGATTTTTATGGATTTTCTAGGTAGTTACAAAATGCCACAAACCTCTTCCCTCTGCCCAACCATCTCCGTTTCTTGAAGCCAGAGTTCATGGAGATTTTTCTGGAGTTTAATGGTACAATCAGCATATTTGGAAATCATGTTTCATCATTCTGTCCGACAAAAACGTCAAAAGAGAGCTCCCTAGACCTTCCGTGTGTACCCTTAAATTGGTGTTGCACCCCATAATTTTAGTACTTTTTAGTACTTTTGCAATTTTGGCTGGGGGGCATTTGGAGTGTCTAGATCCAAACATTTCGTCTGGGGAGTAGTATTGAGCCACTGGCAGCACAGAGGACTCAGAGCACCCGGCTGCGACGCTAGTCTTGGGGCTGAGATTATACTAATTTGATGATTCATTCTACCAGTATTATCAGATGATCAGATATGATTGGTATTGATTCATATATTCTATATCCCCTTTTTTTGTGAGATTACGACCAATCGCCCAAGCCGCCAAGCCGTGAAGGGACCCGCAGTTTTCTCAATTTCCCCGTCAGGTGGCCCAGTTCATCCCAACTTTCAATGGATTGGTTTAAGGATAATTTGCAGGAAAGTCCCATATTTCATGGGAAAATCTATGGTTTCCGGTTTCGATTTTCCCGACTAAACCAATCCATTGAAACTTAGGATTGCTAAGAAAACTGAGGCTGCCAACATGCAATCATCTTTATTAAAGTTGTAGACTTCCTCACACCTCTGCATCGTCGCCGAAAAAATGGAGTGTGCCAAAAAAAGTGCCATGAGAGTTGAAAAAACTTTTTGGGCCCATAAACATATGGAACTAAAATGAACACATATAAATCCACCCATTTTTAGATGATTCTCCTTTTCTGAAACATCTATCTTTGTTGGGGATTTCCCAGCCAACAACGTTTGCTTCGATTGCCTTTTTGGGCCGCCGCCAATTTGGGCCGCCACAATCGGTTGGATACAAGCAGGCAACCAGCAGTGGACAACCATGGACAAATACATGATGAATGTGGCATCCGAAATCATAAACCATGCCTCCGGGTTTCACGGGCTTCATTATTGAAGGCCCCTCACTAAGAATTCTTTTTTTAGGGTACATTGAACATCATTGAACTATAGAAACCACGTGAAAACACCAATGATACAAATCGTTCATTGGATGGAGGGAAGACGTGGTTTCCCACTAAAAGCCTGGAAAAACATGCCAGGCTGATAAGGGTGGTCTTAAATGACCCAACATCACGCAAGACAGAGGAATCACTACCAACAACAATTGAAACATGTGATGGTTAAATGTTTAATGCTTAAAATCCCCTGTGGATGTGATATAATTTGGGATTGTCTGAACATAGGCTTCCCATTGTTTTTTGGGTTTGTAAGTCTATCATCCCTAATAGTTCAAACCGTGTTCTTGGGATATGGTCCAGATAGTTGGTACATAAATTGATGTTCATCCCCCACAATATGGTATAAAATGGTAAAAGTGAAGCTATTTCATAGGTTTGAGCCATCCCCATTTGAGCCATGACAAATACCCCTATCCCATCCTATTATACTGTATACTGGTCGGTTGGGTTGTCATAATCCACTGCCAATAAGTTAGTACAACCCCTTATAAGAATTTGTTCGCAATGGTTGATAGGTTTCCCTAATATGAGCTATCATCATCAAATAAATATACATATACATATATATATATATGTGATACAGGTAATATAAGTCCCTTTATAAACCCATCAATCAACGCATTTTTTGTGGTTCATTAAGCAAACCCACACGTCTCGATGACTGAGGACACAACAGTTTCAGCTTCTGTATTAACATATCTGCAGTTGCCTCCGCGTCCCCTACCTGAACGAGACACACAAAAAGGTGACACCTAACTTGACCAAAGATGCAGTCTACATCTAGAACTATGATGTTGATATATGGTATATATATGTATATATAACATAGTTATATGTGATGTCTGAGTAATATACATGAATATGCATGCATATATGTATAATGTCATATTATATAGACACATTATATCATACTGTAATATATAGATACATTATATTATATAGACATATTATATAGACATATTAGATTGCATATATATAATTATACATATTATCATATATGTAATTGTATATTATATACATCTCAGTATAGAATACTGTATGTGGTTTATAAAAACTATGTGTGAGTCCTCAGTACAGAATGCAAAGGTACAACAATTCAGAAAGGGGGAATAATCCGGCAAGAAATGCGGGTCACTTGGGAAATCAACGTTACCTAAGTTTTATATCATATAGTATTACACACATACTACATGTAAAAATTTCAAATACATATACATATATATGTAGATATATAATAATATATATATATATATGAATTAACTAGTATCCTTATATATATACACATGTATATACATGTGTTATACTCATGTTTCTGGATTTGCAGGTCACAGAAACTCTGCACAAAAACGGTCCAGACATATCCAGAGCACGTTCCAAGATGTTCCAAGTATCCGATTGCGTTCTCCTGATGATCTAAGTCTTAATAGCTGGTTAATATACTGTTTATATGGTTAATACCATGGTTATTATGATGGTTAATGATGGTTAATAATGATATTACTGGCTGGTTGGTGGTTGATCCCTAGCCCTCTGAAAAATGATGGACTGAGTTCGTCAGTTGGGATGAAAAAAATCCCTTCCCAATTAATGATGGGAAAGTATGGGAAAGTCATAAAACGTCTGACCCAGTCACCACCAACCAGATGATCATTCACCAATCTGAAATCAAGACATTTTGGGGCTGATCCCCCCCCAATCGAATCAAAGTGATATCGACCTGGATGGCCATGGCCGGTCTGATGGTGAAACCAAGACGGCTCCCAGGTTCCCGGACGACATCTTTCAAGTTGCCGACTTTTGCAAAGGGTGAATCAACTGGAATGGCCTGTGGCCGGGGGCAAGAACCACATGTTGGGCTGGTCTGAGAATGGGGTACCCCTAAATCAACTGCTTCATTACAGTTAATCAGTGTTAATCATGTGATGTTCCCTTCTATTTGGTGACAATTTGGGGTGCCATCTTTTTTTTTGGAACATCCAGTGAAGATCCAGCGAGGTTTTCCATGTCTTCAGAAAGGTGACCCTGATCACATTTTTCATGTCCCAAATTGTGACCCCACAAAATCCTAGGTAGATAAACCTCCAACAAGTCTCATACAGAGTTTAAACAGTATAGTTGGCGCCCACCTATTTGGCACCCGTCCCACAGACGGCCCGTGTAATGATAATGTTCTACTTGTTTGTTTTTTTTTGGGTTTGGGTGGGGTGAGGTGGGGCAATAACGTTCCTCCCACTACGTTGAGACGAAAGAACAGATACGCAAGAACCAGCTGCTTGAACAGATAGAAAATTGATGAAAATTGTGCCAGAGTTTTGGTCCCTGACAAAAATCGGGCATGGGAGACCTTGGGGAAAAAAAGGATTGCATGTGGAACCGATGGTGCATCAAACCAAACAGTTCACTCGAAAATCTCTCCTCGAGGATCCGTTTCCTTCGCCGCTATCCAGATGATCGACTGTTCTTGGAGAAGTTTCAAAGATTTCCTAGCTTCAGGATGGCATGTTTCTGAAAAGGTTGATGGCCACGCGAAAGTGTCCTGGACAGTTCTGCAGTTGCGTCGAAAAAAAAAACGGTTGTCTGCACGATTAACTTGTTGATTCCTAAGAAAACACTGTGAAGCGAGAGTCAAATCAATGATGCATTAAAAGCGAACATTGGTATTTGACAAAAACGCAACGCACACCTCACATTGTCAAACTCATTATGAGACAATAAAACTGATAATTCAGAAAAATCCCTGGGAAATAAAGGGATGGAACGAACGTGCGTTGAAGTTCAACAAGGGTCGTTGACACCACAATCACAATTCCACACAGCTATGGGACTTAGACCTGGATCAAAATCATCAAGCCACCTTGGCTTAAGTCATGGTAACAGGGTCCGACCCCTTTGGTCCCCAATGAGTTTAGATATGGTGTGTGGTTGTGCACATTTCCACGTATATATATATAATATGTAGTTGGCTGGCGGCTTGTAGAACGCCGCCTGGTTTCGTGCGTTTTTCTGTCTCGGCTACCCTTTCCAACACGCTCGTGCTATGTCGTTGGGGTGGGGGGGGGTGGGGGGGGGTAATAACGTCATGTGCATACTGCGTCCAACATGCTCTTGCTATGTCGGTGGGGTGGGCTGGGTGGGGTGGGGTAGTAACGTCATGTGCACTCTGCGTCCAAGTAACTTCTAACAAGCTCTTGATGTTACGTTCTGCACTTCTTCAATTCCTTTTTAGTCACTTCTAACACGCTCTTGATGTTACGCTCTGCACTGATTCAAGTAACTTCTAACACGTTTTTGATGTTACGCTCCGCGCTTCTTCAAGTAACTTCTAACACGCTCTTGATGCTACTCTCTGCACTTCTTCAAGTCACTTTTAGTCACTTCTAACACGCTCTTGATGTTACGCTCTGCACTTCTTCAAGTCACTTCTAACACGCTCTTGATGTTACGCTCTGCACTTCTTCAAGTCACTTCTAACACGCTCTTGATGTTACGCTTTCACTTCTTCAAGTAACTTCTAACACGCTCTCGGTGTCACGCTCTAACCTTGCTCTAGTCCTTACGAAGTCTATAAACATTTGACTCACGTCCTGCAACGCTTCTGAAACGAAAGAGATACACACTTACAGATACACAATTGGGAAAACAAAGTAGTTTGTCGCATGATTTGAGAGGCTCCAAAAAATGGACCAACGCAGAAATCCCTGAGAAAACAAAGGCAAAGTGAACTTGCAACGGTTGGAAAAACAGGCGGCGTTCTGTCAGCCGCTCACCATGTAGTTACATCTTTCTGTGCTTGCTGTTCCCATGTGCGATGGGGGGCACATGTCCTTCCCACCAGCAAATTCTGGGCTCTGACGGCCTTCCTCCTTTCTGTGAATTTATGTTTTATATGACTATTGTTTGCTTTGTTTTGAATAGTGTTTTGTTGATTGAGAGGAAGAATTGCCTGGATTTAACCAGCTGCAGCGTGGAACAACATCAAGAAAGCATAAACAAAGTGTAAGTAAGCATTAAACAGTGTAAGTAAGCATTGAAAAATGTAAGTACGCGTTGAAACATGTGTAAGTAAGCTAAAAAGTATTGGGAATTGGGAATACAATAAAATTATACAAGTATGGTGCTCTTGAGAATAAATCACCCACCCACCCACCTACCCAGCGCTATGGTTGCCCATCAAAGACTGCATCCAGGGATAGAAACAGGGTTTCAATACCTACAGTTTAGAAAAGAATGTTCATTGAACTCAACATGACCAAAGAACACCAAAGAGATCCGGAAAAAAAAATTGATTGCCAGCAAAGATAAACGTATGTCAACTTTGAAGAACCGTTGTTTCAGAGGTCCATCCGGCGCGAAGAGGCTTCCTGGGGCCCCTGGCCCCCCAAGGATCATCCTCCAATTTCGCTTTCTTATCCGACTTTCCAGACTTACCTCAGTGAATGGAGCCCCAGAAGTCGCCCACCAGCTTTGAAATAGCTGTTCCATGGACTTTCCCATGTCAATTCAACTATAAACACATGTCATCACTGCCAGTTGCAACGATTTTGGATACGGATAATTAATTTTGGAGTACCCCACTAAAAAAAAAGATGATGGATTGACGATTGTCCGATAGCAAACATCTACTGTAACTTCTGAATTGCCATGGAGATCCCACCATCACAAAGGCTGTTCTTTTCCTTGGGGGTTGCCATGTATATACCTAGACCATCCAAAATATCCCCAAAAAAACTGGTACAAGTACTTGTTCATGATGGGGTGTACTTGTTCATGATGGGGTAAACCACTATTTTTTTTCGGCTAGAGGATCTAGGCATAAACGTCACCTGGATGCTATGTTACCATGCTAGAGATATACCAAAATGATCTGTGATATGATAATTTGGTATAATCAGACATGACACTAATTCAAAATATAACAAAAACCTTCGTATAAAATATCTCATATGGATTCAAATGGTACTAAGGTACATGCTGGGGTTACCATATGGTACATACTCTTAAGGTACATTAAAGTACTACATCATGGTGAATCGTAGATACCTGCCAAACAAAAACATTTTTAGCTGGTGAATTTACATACATTTTACCATAGCAGCGGATTAGAATGCCAAGATATCGTATCCAGCCAGACGGTTGGCCAAGATTCATGATCCACAAAAAATCACTTAGGGGCCGCGTTACCGTATATATTATAAATATATTTTATATTATATCATATTATATCATATTGTATCATATTATATCATATTATACATTATACATTAATTATATATACATTATACATGATCAATTAAATGATATATAATATATTATAAATAATATATTATATATATAATTATGTATTATATATTATATATTATATATTAAATATTATATATTATATTATTTTATAATTGTATTATTTTTGATTTATATCATATTATATACTGCATTATAATTTAAAAATGACAATACATACATATACATACATATATATATATTATATAATACCCAGACTCAAAGTATCTTAATACCATAGTATCTACAAAAAAATCACCTTCCGGGATGCTCCAAAAACGATCACTGAGGTCGCCAGCCCTTCTGCTTTCCGGTTCCGCCTTTCTCTTTCTCTTTCTCTTTCTCCGGTTTCGGTTTTGCTTCCGCCTGCAGGATGCAAAAAAAATCAACATGCAAGATCATTTCACACATCAATTCGCGTTTTATGCTGTTGTCTAGGAAAGGCCAGTTTCCTGTGCAGGTGTCTTGACACTGCGAGAACACGATGGATTCAAGTGAGTGTAAAGGCTAGAGGTCCAGGGATGACTTGGGATGTCTCAACCTGTGCAGATCTGTGCAGCCTCTAAGAGATCCAGCCGCCAGGCAAGTTTCTTGTTGCACGGCCAATGACATGAGCCGTAGGCTATTTAGACAAATAGCAATGATTAAATAATCATCACCATATTATACCAGTAGTACCGCACAAGGCGGTGGCGGAAGTTTCAAAAATAGGAAACCTATAGGAGCGGTTGGTTGTTGTGAATCAGGGATGGCAGAGCGAAGCCACTGATGGACCGAAAGGTGTTTGAGGTCTCCTCTCTTTCTCTCTCTTTCTCTGACTATCTACCTACCTACCTACCTACCTATCGATCTATGTATCTGTCTATTTATCTATCGATCGATCGATCTATCTATATCTATCTATCTATCTATCTATCGATCTAATGTTCACATGGCGTTAATAACCCCCCCCGCAATCAAGTACGCCAACTCCCGGTTCACAATAATAAAACCCCCCCGCAATAAAGTACGCCAACTTTTTTTTCACGTTTTTTTCCGTTTTTTCCCTTTAGTATTCGTTTTCAATTAGGCAATTCATTTGGGAATACGTAGGTGTTTTTTTCTTTGGAGGGAAAGTTCCCTTATGTATTCGTTTTCAATTAGGCAATTCATTTGGGAATACATAGGTGATTTTATTTTTTGGAGGGAAAGTTCCCTTATGTATTCGTTTTCAATTAGGCAATTCATTTGGGAATACATAGGTGATTTGTTTTTTTGGAAAAGTTCTGGAGTGCAAAAAAATCAACAAGGCTCAAATGGCCGATTTCCTTACTAAACCCTTTCAAAAAATGCCAAAAAACAGTCGCGCAAAGGGGGTAGCCTTGAAGTCCCCTGACATCAAAATAATAATGTATGTTTGCACACCCCTAAATAAAGTATTTGGATTTCAGGGTTCTAAAATTTTGGTGGTTAATTAAATTTGTTTCTCAATTCCTTTCCTAGTTGAACCCTTTCTCAAACCCTTTCTGAAGCCCTCAAGACTCTTTGAGCTGGAAGCAGTAAACTCCAAACTCCAAATCTTGCCTGAAAAGTTCTGGAGTGCAAAAAATCAACAAGGCTCAAATGGTCGATTTCCTTACTAAACCCTTTCAAAAAATGCCAAAAAACAATCGCGCAAAGGGGGTAGCCTTGAAGTCCCCTGACATCAAAACAATAATGTATGTTTGCACACCCCTAAATAAAGTATTTGGATTTCAGGGTTCTAAAATTTTGGTGGTTAATTAAATTTGTTTCTCAATTCCTTTCCTAGTTGAACCCTTTCTCAAACCCTTTCTGAAGCCCTCAAGAGTCTTTGAGCTGGAAGCAGTAAACTCCAAACTCCAAATCTTGCCTGAAAAGTTCTGGAATGCAAAAAAATCAACAAGGCTCAAATGGTCGATTTCCTTACTAAACCCTTTCCTTACTAAACCCTTTCAAGAAAGTTCACTTTATGTATGCGTTTTCAATTAGGCAATTCATTTGTGAATACTAAAGTTCCAAGAAAGTTGACTTTATGCATTCGTTTTCAATTAGGCAATTCATTTGTGAATACTAAAGTTCCAAGAAAGTTCACTTTATGTATTCGTTTTCAATTAGGCAATTCATTTGTGAATACTAAAGTTCCAAGAAAGTTTACTGTATGTATTCGTTTTCAATTAGGCAATTCATTTGGGAATACATAGGTGATTTTTTGTTTTTTTGGAAAGTTCCCTTTGTGACTTTGTGTAATCGTTTTCAATTAGGCAATTCATTTGGGAATGCATAGGTGTTTTTTTTGGGAAAGTTCCTTTTATGTAATCGTTTTCAATTAGGCAATTCATTTGGGAATACATACGTGTTTTTTTTGGGGGGGAAAGTTCCCTTATGTATTCGCTTTCAATTAGGCAAATCATTTGGGAATACATAGATGATTTTTTTTTTGGAAAGTTCCCTTATGTATTCGTTTTCAATTAGGCAATTCATTTGGGAATGCATAGGTGATTTTTACGATAGTTGAATGTTTGGCCCTAACTTTATTCTGATGCTCTTAATGTTTGGGGGGGAGGGGGGGGTTATTAATACGATGTTGACATTATGTATCTATCTCTCTCTCTATCTATTTATCTACCTGTCTATCTATCTATCGTTCTCTCTATCGATCGTTCTCTCTATCTGTTCTGCAAGACTTCCTCAATTTTTGAACTTGACAACATCAAAAGCGCAGCAATTCAGCGAGACTTCCTCAATTTTTGCACTTGACAGCATCAAAAACGAGACAATTCTGCGAGACGTCCTCATTTTTCGTAGTTGACAACATCAAAAACGAAACAATTCTGCGAGACATCCTTCAAAAATATCAAAAATGGAAAGTTGAGTGCAGAGCTGACGGCCTCTTACCAATGCGTTTTGCGATTTTTCCAAAAAGTGCTCCGAACCTGGTGTGTTTTGTACATTTTGACTTCGAAATGTGCTTCGCGCCACAACACTGTGCACTTTTTCGACATCTTAACTTCAAGAAGTGCTTCGAACGTGAGGTGCTTTTAGCTTTTTCACTTGCAAATGTTCTTCGCGCCTCAACGGCGTGCAATTTTTCATCTCTCATCTGGCCAGCTGGCTCCGCGCCCGCCGCTTTAGCGAGCCTACTTTTCGACCCTCGGGAGCCTCAAATCATTGGAAATTAAAGGACCGGATAACCCCACATGTTACCAACTTCTTTAAAGGCCATCTATCCATCTATCGATCGATCTATCTGTCTATCTATCCGTGCATCCATCCATCAATCAATCCATCTATCTATTTCTCTCTCTCTCTCTCTATCTCTCTATGAATATCAGACCTGTCTATCTATCTATCTGTCTATCTGTCCTTACATCAGGATATCTATCTATCTACCAATCAATCAATCTATCTATCCATCGATCGATCTCTCTGGCTATCTATCCATCTATCTATCGATCTATCTAGCAATCTATCTGTTCAATCTATCCATCAACAATCCATCCATCCTGCATGAGTGAGTGAGTGAGTGAGTGAGTGTGTGAGTGAGCGCAAACCCACGCAAACGAGGCGGAGACCAAGGGACGCCAGGGCGTACATCCGACCCCTTGGCAGTGCACATTGTCCCACGCCTGCCACGCAAAAAAGGCAGAGACTAAGGGACGCACCGCGTACATCCGACCCCTTGGCGGTGCACATTGTCCCAGCCACGCAAACGAGGCGGAGACCAAGGGACGCCTGCAGGGCATACATCCGACCCCTTGGCAGTGCACATTGTCCCACGCCTGCCACGCAAACGAGGCGGAGACCAAGGGACGCCAGGGCGTACATCCGACCCCTTGGCGGTGCACATTGTCCCACGCCTGCCACGCAAACTAGGCGGAGACCAAGGGACGCCAGGGCGTACATCCGACCCCTTGGCAGTGCACATTGTCCCACGCCTGCGGACGCCAGGGCGTACATCCGACCCCTTGGCGGTGCACATTGTCCCACGCCTGCCACGCAAACGAGGCGGAGACCAAGGGACGCCAGGGCGTACATCCGACCCCTTGGCAGTGCACATTGTCCCACACCTGCCACGCAAACGAGGCGGAGACCAAGGGACGCCAGCGCGTACATCCGACCCCTTGGCGGTGCACATTGTCCCACGCCTGCCACGCAAAAAGGGACGCCAGGGCGTACATCCGACCCCTTGGCAGTGCACATTGTCCCACGCCTGCCACGCAAACGAGGCGGAGACCAAGGGACGCCAGAGCGTACATCCGACCCCTTGGCAGTGCACATTGAGGCGGAGACCAAGGGACGCCAGGGCGTACATCCGACCCCTTGGCAGTGCAGATTGTCCCACGCCTGCCACGCAAACGAGGCGGAGACCAAGGGACGCCAGGGCGTACATCCGACCCCTTGGCGGGAGACCAAGGGACGCCAGGGCGTACATCCGACCCCTTGGCGGTGCACATTGTCCCACGCCTGCCACGCAAAAGCGGCGGAGCCCCAAGGGACGCCAGGGCGTACATCCGACCCCTTGGCAGCGCACATTGCCCCACGCCTGCCACGCAAAAGAGGCGGCCCCGAAGGGACGCCAGGGCGTACATCCGACCCCTTGGCAGTGCACATTGTTGTCCCACGCCTGCCACGCAAAAGAGGCGGAGCCCCGAGGGACGCCAGGGCGTACATCGACCCCTTGGCAGTGCACATTGTCCCACGCCTGCCACGCAAAAGAAGCGGAGCCCCAAGGGACGCCAGGGCGTACATCCGACCCCTTGGCAGTGCACATGGTCCCACGCCTGCCACGCAAAAGAGGCGGAGACCCAAGGGACGCCAGGGCGTACATCCGACCCCTTGGCAGTGCACATTGTGCCACGCCTGCCACGCAAACGAGGCGGAGACCCGAGGGACGCCAGGGCGTACATCCGACCCCTTGGCAGCTCACATTGTGCCACGCCTGCCACGCAAACGAGGCGGAGACCCAAGGGACGCCAGGGCGTACATCCGACCCCTTGGCCAGTGCACCATTGTCCACGGCCTTGCCACGCAAAAGAGGCGGAGACCAAGGGACGCCAGGGCGTATACATCCGACCCCTTGGAGGACATGTCACACGCCTGCCCACGCAAAAAGCCGGGAGACCAAGGGACGCCAAGGGCGTATACATCCGACCTTGGCAGTGCACATTGTCCCACGCCTGCCACGCAAAAGAGGCGGAGAGCCAAGGGACGCCAGGGCGTACATCCGAGCCCTTGGCAGTGCACATTGTCCCACGCCTGCCACGCAAAAGAGGCGGAGACCAAGGGACGCCAGGGCGTACATCCGACCCCTTTGGCAGTGCACATTGTCCCACGCCTGCCACGCAAAAGCGGGCGGAGACCAAGGGACGCCAGGGCGTACACCCGACCCCTTGGCAGTACACATTGTCCCACGCCTGCCAGGACGCCAGACCCCTTGGCAGTGCACATTGTCCCACGCTTGCCACGCAAAAGAAGCGGAGCCCAAGGGACGCCATCGCGTACATCCGACCCCTTGGCAGTGCACATTGTCCCACGCCTGCCACGCAAAAGACGCGGAGACCAAGGGACGCCAGGGCGTACATCCGACCCCTTGGCATGGCACATTGTCCCACGCCTGCCACGCAAAAGAGGCGGAGCCCGGGCGTACATCCGACCCCTTGGCAGTGCACATTGTCCCATGCCTGCCAGGACGCCAGACCCCTTGGCAGTGCACATTGTCCCACGCTTGCCACGCAAAAGAAGCGGAGCCCATCGCGTACATCCGACCCCTTGGCAGTGCACATTGTCCCACGCCTGCCAAGGACGCCAGGGCGTACATCCGACCCCTTGGCAGTGCGCATTGTCCCACGCCTGCCACGCAAAAGCGGCGGAGCCCAAGGGACGCCAGGGCGTACATCCGACCCCTTGGCAATGCACATTGTCCCACGCCTGCCACGCAAAAGAGGCGGAGACCAAGGGACGCCAGGGCGTACATCCGACCCCTTGGCAGTGAGTGAGTGAGTGAGTGAGTGAGCGAGCGAGTGAGTGAGTGAGTGCGTGGGTGAGTGAGTGAGTGAGTGAGTGAGTGAGGGAGTGAGGGAGTGAGTGAGTGAGGTAGTGAGTGAGTGAGGTAGTGAGTGAGTGAGTGAGTGGGTGAGTGAGTGAGTGAGTGAGTGAGCGAGTGAGTGAGTGAGTGAGTGAAGTGAGGTGAGGTGAGGTGAGGTGAGGTGAGGTGAGGTGAGGTGAGGTGAGGTGAGGTGAGGTGAGGTGAGTGAGTGGGTGAGTGAGTGAGTGGGTGGGTGGCGTGAGTGAGTGAGTGAGTGAGTGAGGGAGGAGGACGGGAGGCGGAGGAGGAGGAGGAAGGCGGATACAGAACTAAAAACAAAAACCCCACACGTCAATGCGGGGAAGAAAACTAATGGAAAATTAAGGAGAACTAATAGCAAACCAAAAACATCCCCCAAAAAAAGCAACCTTCAAAAAATCATCACTCCTACATTAACTGCACCACACCACAACTACAACTGCAGCTGCAACTGCAACTGCAACTACACGACTAATTACACTACATTGCGCCATAACTCCACTACACTACAACTACAACTCCACTACACTACGCTACAACTACAATACAACTGCGCTACACCACACTACATCCAGCAGTTGTGGTGAGGTGACCACTGCAACCATTGCAATACTCCAAAACACACAAATCCAACCACCTTTCGGTCCATCAGTGGATTGCTCTGCCATCCGTGATTCACAACAACCAACCTTTCCTATAGGCTTCCTATTTGTGAAACTTCCGCCGCCGCCTTGTGCGGTACTACTGGTAAACCAAACAAACATAAATTTGATCAATCTTAAACTACCTATGCATTAATATTCCAATTTTAGTTCATGTATTCCAAATAAGTCCGAATATAATATTCCAACGTCAATATTAAGTTGGAATTTATGGTTCCCATTTCTGTTTGAACATATTTAGTCGCCATTAATTGCCGATGGTTCAAAAAGAAAACAAAATGGTTTCCTTTTTATTATTTGTTTTTTTGCAGGCCTTTTGAGCAAATCCATTCGCATGGTTCAGGGTAGCATATTTTCAGGGTATATGCCTACCTGCATCCCCAATGACCTTCCTATCCGCTGGTTGAGCCAACGCCAAATCTTTTTCCCTATATTGTTAAATATTATATATTCGGTGGATGGAAGAAATCCTGCACCACCAAAATGATAGTTGAAAGTTGAAACCCTTTGAATAGTGGGATGTTTACCACCTATCAACTGGGATTTCTTCCATCCACAGCATAATTCGCAAGTGGGACTGCAGGACGAATCTCAGCGTGTAAGCCTCAATTTTTCATAATTGTTCGACGGTGCTCCAAAACTTGCCCTTCCCTAGTCAAACGTGACTATCTGGTTGGTGGTTTGGAACATTTTTTTTATTTTTCCATATATTGGGAAGAATCATCCCAACTGACTTTCATATTTTCAGAGGGGTAGGTGTACCACCAACCAGCTATAAATGAAGGTAACCCAAGTGAAACGAGACAAAAAACATCTATGACCGGGGGATTCTACATTGCCATGTTTGCACGAGCCACAACTGGCAAGAGGATGTGGAGACGTGTCACGCTTACATGCGAGGAGATTTGTCTTGGATGGATGGCATGCGGCAGCTGCTGGGACGGACAGATGTCGACTTCACGGACTTCAAGGCCTTCACCGCGGAGTACCTCAACAGATACATTTGTCAGTTCAAGAATGCCTACTTTGAGCGGTGTTCTGGCGTCTCTGACTTTGTCCAGGATCATGTAATGACATCTAACAGGGGTAAGGCACTCAAATGTCTTACCGCCGGCATGTCCAACAAACCACTTATAATGCAGGTGTACATGGGTAATCATGGGGCCATCCCTATAATCCAGGTTTTATGCACATCCATTCCTTGATTCATTGGATGACATTGAGGGGATGGCAGCCAAGTGAGCAATTGAATTTCATGATGTTTCATTTGCCCCACCAACCATGAAAAATTGCATTTGCATGTCTATCCCCGTGTGTGTGTGTGTTTGTGTTTTTTGTTTATCCCCCAATTCACTAGTGACTAGTTGTGTCCCCACATTACCGCCAAGTAGAACAGTTCCAGACAGAATATCCACGCTTTTGCAGGCTCTGGTTGGAAGTTGGAACAGTGTGGATAGGGTCACCCTTTTGTGAGCACCCAAAACAAGAAACTATAGTTTCTCAGTGTTTTCAATCCAGAGTGGAGTTGGTTGAACATACACTCAGGTTACCCGGATTTGCAGCTGAAGTTGGTTAACTTCAGTTTCTATCCCTGCTCAAGTTGGTTCAATCCTGATCTTTATTCAATCTCAGCCCTTGATTTCCATTTTACTTGTTCAGCACTTTGCTGATGAATTTCCAGAAGATTGAGAGCCCAGAGAGCCCAAAGATCCTAAAGATCTCCATGGTCCAGCCTACCTCGTCTTTGACGAGGTCCGCCCTTTCGTTTCCATCACGTGCTCTTAGGCACCTTGGGAGGGAGGCATACCCGTGGCCATTTGAACCGAGAAAAACATATGAAATATCATGAAATCATGATTAAACAATTGATTCAGGGGCAAACTGTATTTTTATACGTAAACAGTAAACACATATATATATATATATGTATATGTATTTATGTATACACCATATATATTATACAATATATATATATTATAATTACATATTACGTGTATATTAAATAATATATGTATATACATAAATACATATATTATATAGATTAAACATATATATATATATATTACATATATATATAGAGAGATTATACATATATATATATATAGATAATATATATATATATATGTATTATACATATATATATACATATAGATTATACATATTTAGATAATACATATATATATATATTACATATATATTATATATATATTATACATATATATATATATATATATATTTGCAATACTTATTTATATTAGACATATATATATTTATATATCATACATATATTTAAATAAATATGTATATATATAAATATATTGACCATAAATATATATATATATATATTATACACATATGTATATATATATATATATTTATTTTTACTAATATATATATATATATATTCACATTTATATATTTTACAATACATACATATATATATGTCATACATATATAAATATTATACATATATATATATTGTACATATATGAATATTTATTATAAATATATATATATAGTTGACCTGCAATGGGATAAGCCACAATGCTGAAAGTTCAAGTCCCGCTGCTGTGGAGCCGGACCACCTCGATACCATCGTTGAAAAGTTGAGTCGCGATGAGGGTCCCCGACTGACACGAGTATGGGTCCAAGCTGAAGGTCCCTTTCAACTGAGTGCCGATTGGCATGCCAGTGAATGAGATTGCCCAGAAGAGTATCTAAGATATCTAAGTAGTCATGTGTTTTGACGTGGTATTTGATTATATACAACCGGCTTACAACCGGTGTGAATTCTAGTTTGTTAGGGAACACGTTTAGTAGCAATTCCTTTCATGTTTGGTTTTTGCACGAAGCAACGTGGTGCTTTACTGATGAGGTGGTTGATGCACCCCCCGTTTACTCTGGATATATCATGAGATACCTACGACAGCCTAGTGACGTATCGATGAACTAAACAAACTTAGCCAGCTAGGTAAAACCCACCGTGTATGGTCAAAATCGTTTTTTCTGTTGGTTAAAGCGTGTTGGCGCCAAACCCCACGTTCGACCATAAGATATCCGGCTGAGACATCCACAAGTTAACAAGGACGCTTTCTTCTAGGGGAATCCAATACTCATAAGGGATCAAATCCCCCACCTCCTCTGAACAAATATGTTGAATGGTTTGCTAACTTCCACTTCTCTTCATTAGGGATAAAATCCCCTACTCCTTCTGAACAAATATGTGAACGGTTAATTAACTTCCACTTCTCTTCTTAAGGGATCAAATCCCCCACCATCTTTGAACAAATATGTTGAATGCTTTATTAACTTCCACTTCTCTTCATCCGGGATCTAATCCTCCACCCCTTCTGAACAAATATGTTGAATGGTTTACTAACTTCCACTTCTCTTCATCATGGATAAAATTATCCACCCCTTCTGACCAAATATGTTGATGTTGTTGTTGTTGTTGTTGTTGTCGTTGTTGTTGTTGTTGTTTTAACTTCCACCGCTTCTTAAGGGATGAAATTCCCTACCCCATCTGAACAAATATGTTGAATGTTGTTGTTTTTGTTAATTTCCACCACTTCTTAAGGGGTCAAATCCCCCACCCCATCTGAACAAATGTTGAATGTGTTTTTTTAAAACTTCCACCACTTCTTAAGGGATCAAATACCCTACCCCCTCTGAACAAATATGTTGAATGTGTTTTTTTTTAAACTTCCACCACTTCTTGAGAGATCAACCCCCCCACCCCATCTGAACAAATATGTTGAATGTGTTTTTTTTTACTTCCACCACTTCTCAAGGCCCCTACCCCATCTGAACAAATATTTTGAATGTTTTTTTTTTAACTTCCACCGCTTCTTAAGGGATCAAATGCCCTACCCCATCTGAACAAATATGTTGAATGTTTTTTTTTTAACTTCCACCGCTTCTTTAGGGATCAAATCCCCCACCCCATCTGAACAAATAGGTTGCATGTTTTTTCCCGAATGCGTAGCAAGGGTTCCCGTTTCACTCTGGGGGTCTGGGGGTTGAGAGTGTGTTCGCTCGACGTTGCGTCCGCGTCCGCAACCGTTCGCAACCGTCCGCAACCGTCCGCAACCGTTCGCAACCGTTCGTGTGAGGACCGTATGGCCGTGCCTATGGGAAGTTTTGCAGAGGTGGTCATTTTTGGAGGTTTCAGACGTGTCGTTGCTTCGTTTCGCGTGGCAGGCGTGGCACTTTGTGACATTCAGACGTGTTTTGCAACGTGTTGAAAATCGTTTTGCGTGGCAGGCGCAATACTTTTGTGACGTTTTTAGAAGATGTGTTGCAGTTTTCGTGGCAGGCGCAGCACTTTGGACGTGTCCATCGTCATTTTTCGTGGCAGGCGCAGCACTTTAGACGTGTCCTGTTGCGTGTTTTTTGTAAATCGCATTGGCAGGGCTGCGTCAAGTGGCGACAAGGTGCAAATTCCGTGGCAGGCGTGGCATTTTGTGAGATGTGCTGAAAATTGACGGAAGCCTCGCACGAAACATCGGTTTTGAGGTAGCAAATTTTCAGGTTCTCAGGAAAACTCGTAGGAAAACGTCGATTTTGAAGCTACAAAGTGTGAAAATTGGCGGACGTCTCGCACGAAATGCTCGTTTTTGATGCTCTCACCTGTCTTGTCTCGAGTCTCTGGTTTTCCTGTGGCCTCGCCGTGTCTATGGGGGAAGCTGCAAAACCTCTCCTTTCCGAACGTTTCAAAGTGTGAAAATTGGAGGACGTCTCGCACGAAAAGCTCGTTTTGGTGCTCCCACCTGTCTCGTCTCGAGTCTCCGGTTTCCTGGTGGCTTCGCCGTGTCTATGGGGGAAGCCGCAAAACGTTTCCTTTTCGAAGGTTTCCAAGCAGGTTGTCATGTCGTTTTGCGTGGCAGGCGTGGCACTTTGTGACATTCCAACCTGTTTGATAACGTGTCGAAAATTTCAAACTTGGAGGAAGTCTCCTGCAAAATGCTGTTTTTTCTGCATCCATGTGTCTTGTCTTGAGTCGCTGGTTTTTCTGTGGCGTCGCCGTGTCTATGGGGGAAGCTCCGCACTCCACACTCTACACTTTACACTCCACGCTCCACAATTTACACTTTAGACTCCACACTCTACACTTTACACTCCACACTTTACACTTTGCACTTTACACTCCTCACTCCTCACCTGAGACTTTACACTCCACACTCCACACTTTACACTACACTCTGCACTCTACACTTTCCACTCCTCACTCCTCACTCTACACTTTACACTCCACACTCTACACTTTACACTCCACACTTTACACTACACACTTTACACTACACACTCCACGCTTTCCACTCCACACTCCACGCTTTCCACTCCACACTCCACACTTCACACTTTAAACTCCACACTCCACACTTTACACTCCCCACCGCACACTTTACACTCAACACTCCACACTCTACACTTTACACTCTACAGTCTACACTTTACACTCTACACTCCGCACTCTACACTTTACACTCTACGCTCCACACTTTACATTTTACACTCCACACTCCACACTCTACACACCACACGCTACACTTTCCACTCCATATTCCACACTCTACACTCCACACTCCCCACTTTACACGCCACACTCCACACTCTACACTTTCCACTCCAGACTCCGCACTCCACACTCCACACTTTAAACTTTACACTCCTCGCTCCACACTCCACACTTTACACTACTCACTTTACACTCCACACTCTCCACTTTCCACTCCAGACTCCACACTCACACTTTACGCTCCACACTTTACACTGCACACTTTACACTTTACACTACACACTCCACACTTTACACTCCTCACTCCACACTCCACACTTTACACTCCACACTCCACACTTTACACTCCTCACTCCACACTCCACACTTTACACTCCACACTCCCAACTTTACACCCCACACTTCACACTCCACACTTTCCACTCCACACTCCACACTCCACACTTTACACTCCACACTTTACACTCCTCACTCCACACTTTACACTCCACACTTTACACTCCACACTCTACACTTTACACTCCACACTTTACACCCCGCACTCCACACTCTACACTTTACACCCTACACTATACACTCTACACTCCAAACTTTACACTTTACACTCCACGCTTTCCACTTTACACCCCACGCTTTCCACTTTACACTCCTCACTCCACACTTTACACTTCACACTCCACGCTTTCCACTCCACACTCCACACTTCACACTTTAAACTCCACACTCCACACTTTACACTCCCCACTCCACACTTTCCACTCCACACTCCACACGCTACACTCTACACTCCACACTCTACACTTTACACTCTACACTTTACACTCCACACTTCACACTCTACAATTTACAAACGCCACACTCCTCACTCCACACTTCACAATCCTCACTTTACACTCCACACTCCGCACTCCACACTTTACACTCCTCACTTTACACTCGACACTCCACACTTTGCACTCCACACTCCTCACTCCACACTCTACACTCTACACTCCACACTCCACATTCTACACTCCACACTCCACACTTTACACTCCATATTCCACACTCTACACTTTACACTCCGCATTTTACACTTTACACATTCTACACTCCCCACTCCACACTTTACACTCCACACTCCTTACTTCACACTCCACACTCCACACTTCCACTCCACACTGCAGACTGGTAACAAGGGAAACATGCACAAGACTGTTGAAATAAACTATTGCAGAAAGGCGTTGTGGGCGACTGCATAACCATGTGTTTTGACATCTGTACCATTAACATACGTGTGAGCATTCGGGTTCGTGGGCTTCATCTTGTTTAGTTTCTGCTTATCTTCATGATTTGATGATGATGGTGATGCTGATGATCACGAGGACGATCGTTGTCGTGTCGCGTTCAGTTGACTTCCGGCACGGTCAAAACATAGGGATTGCAGCGAACGTGTTTAAACTTTATTGGTTATTACCCAACTTAGCCAATGGTTCCTTGGGCACCAACTTGACATGTTTTAGAAACTAGTTTCTCCGGATATATACCGCCCCATATTTTGTGTTGGTTAAACCATGTTAGACCCTTCTTTTTCATCGTAAATTCCCTAACCAATATCCTTTTAACCCGATTAATCGCATTTTATAGTAAACCATCAATAGTCTCCAGTTGTTGGTGATGCTTACCCTAGGGTAAACTAACATAGTGAAAAACCAACCAATTGTAGACTATTTTCCTGGGCCAAGCATGGCTGTTTCACATAGTAATGTAAACAATTACCCTTTTTATATGGAAAAAACATGTAGATTATATATTTTCATAGGGAAACCATGCATTGTTCACGTTTATGTGTGTTGTTTACCCTACCTGATCTACCTGCTAGCGATGTGCCTAGGGTAAACACCAAAGAGAGCGGCACCTCATTCCCTCAACGAGCGAAATCAGGCGACATGTATTTAGAACTTCTTCCGGGAGCGCCTTGGAAAGGAAAAACTGTTGAGTGAGCCCCACAAAGAAAAATATGATATCAATGGGTATTTAGAATATGGGATGATTATGATATAATTGGATGATCAACTATAACTATGGGATGATCAACCATATCTTTCCATATATATAAATAAATAAATATATATATATATATGTTTTATGGTTGTTGTTTATGGGATGAACACGGGAATTGGTTCAGAA